CTCTCTTTTCGTCCAGGACTCTTACTACGGGAGCGAGGGCGAGAGACGAACGAAGTCCGGCGCCGAGGCTGCTCGCCACGGAGGCGGCGGAGCATAGCCCGAGGCCTAGCGAGGCGATGGTGAATAGAGACGGCCTCATGTTTGACAGGTTACCCGGGTGGCGGCTGTCAAATGGGGGAGAGAAGGGTGAAGGGACGGGACTAAGAGACCACCCGGGTGCCGTCCGTACATGTTATAATCGTCAAAGTCACAGCCTCGGACATTTGCAGCTGCGCGAACCCTGAGAGTCATCCGGAGACCAATATCCTTCTAGGTGCTCTAGCGCTGTTCATGCGCAGATGATGCGGATAGTTGAGGTGTGCGTAGTATTGCCCATCGTTCGTCCCTTTCCCCTCTCCTCCATTGCCGGGAACATGCAGTAGCGGCACTGGAAGCATGATATGGGCATATCCGGAAGAACAGGTGTGATTAGCTTCGCATACGAAACGATCGTCCGATGCCCGGTTGCTGAGGAAAGCTTGGTCCACAATATGCAAAGCCATTTTCTGCAGCCTCGAAGTACGACGGATCCTGAGAAGAGGCTGGTTGGGGATTAAGCTTCGCCGGCTTAGCCCGCGCGAGCCGTGCGGAGACGCGGTAGTGATCGTTGGAGCATGTGGAGGAAGCGGTTCCAACAACCCCTCCTTTGCCGTCCTTGGCTTGCTTTACCAGGTATAATCTCGGCCGATTGTGTGCGGAGGCAGATCCGACTGTAAAATGCGACGGAAAACAGGCGTATCAGCCAGTGATGATCGTCTCCAGTACCTATCTCGATATCAATTAACGCGATGCCCGTTTATTGTCCGTAGAGCCGGCCTTCCCGATATATCAAGTGCCGAAGGTCGGAATTCCTTTGATTGCGACTGTCTGGTCGCATTCAAGCTCGTATCCGTAGCCTGTTGGTGATGATCCGGCCAGCGCAATGTAACCTTGCTGCTCGTCACGGCCAGTTGGAGCGGGCAAGCGATTGACTAATCGAATTCAATGAAGCTCATATGACGCCATGTCAAACAAAAGTCCAATCCGACTCCTCATCGGTGCTTGGGTTCGAATCAATTGTCTGCTCATCGAAGAAGCCGACTGCTCGCCCGTCCTTCTTCCAGACCTTGCCGTCCTTCATGACAAAGTTGACTTTCCTCAATGCCCCCTCGTCTTCTCTCGGGTCCGCGTCCAAGGCAATGATATCGGCTCGGTAGCCTTTCTCGATGGAACCAAAGTAGAAACCGCTCCTCTCCTTACCGCAGCTTTCCCAGCCTCCCATCACACATGCTTCCAGCACATCCACGACGGGAACCCCGGCCTGGATCATGAGTTCCATTTCAAAAGCACCTTCCCCGTGAGGAAATGTTCCGGTATCGCCCCCGGCAGCAAGACGCACGCCGAGATCGTGTGCCCTTTTGGTCTTCTTCGCGATGCTGCTGAAATCAGGCGAAGTCTTCATGATCCCGAGCGTCGGGACGAAGATGGTACCACGGCGCGCCATTTCTCGAAAGACCTCATCGGTGGCCTCTTGGCAGTGCTCAACGGTGTCGACGCCGGCCTTGATGGCCATAAGTGCCCCCTTGGCTGAGCCTGCGTGGCACGCCACGGGTAGCCCGCCTAGCTTGGCTTCCTTAACGATTGCGTCCATCTCCTCTTGATTAAACATCACCACAGTCGGGTTGGGCTCCGAGGGAAGAAACGGGATCGGTTCCTTTGCATTCGGAAATCGCATCACCTTGCGCCGATAGTCCGCGTAGAACTTGATGATGTCCGCCCCGTCGGCCGCACGACGCCGGACAGCCTGTGTCACGCCTACCGGACCGTCGCAGGGGTCCGAAATGCGCGGTAACTTCGCCCACGAGTTCTCGTGACGAACCTCGTAGGACCCAGTGCTGGCGAGACACTCGGTGGCCACGAAGAGTCGCGGGCCGGGTACCAGACCTCGGTTGACACAGTCTCTCAGGTTTGCGTCGTATGAGCGCAGCCCTTCGGTGCCCAAATCTCTGTATGTCGTGTAACCGGACAGAAGGGCAACACGGAGATGATTTGTAGCACGAACGATTCTCTCGACGACACTTTCGTCGCGCATCTGGACCGTCGATGAAGCCTCACTAGCCAAGGTTAGATGAATTAAGGGCCTTGTGCCACAATGATTGGGCTCACTCGTATGGATGAAGAAACACGTGTGTGTGCGCGTCGACAAATCCTGGCATCACAACCTTCCCTCGCAAGTCTATATCATGACTTTTCAACTCGACATGTTTGGATCGCTGCCGGTCATACACATCTGCAATGGCGCCGTTCGTTGGATCGATGACAATCGAGATATTCTTGTCAAAGGTCTTTTTCCTTGGATTGAACAGCAATGACGTGTGTATTGTAAATGGTCCATCGCCCTGTCTGCTACACATTTTTGCGGCGTTGCAAGGCCTTTTGATACTACAAGTGAGTTCTGGCTCAGGTAATGTTTTCGGGTTGCGAGACTCGTCGGTAATATAGCAAAGTCAACAAAGAGTGCTCAAGTAGACTGCAGAATGAGACACCTAAATGATTACCGTCTGATGATGTATTCACCTGCGGGCGAGATCCTAAGCTAGCTGTCATAGGCAGCTCGGCTATCATGAACTCCCCGCTGAAACGTGCAAAAAGTTCAAGGAGAGACACGCAAAGGGACTTTGGTAAATAAAGCAATCTCGTCTCCAGGTATTCATCGCTGCATGGTTGATCAATCGTTTCACTGTATCGAGAGGCGACGCACACTTCTAGTGTACGATTAAGGGTTCAATGCGTGGGTTGACACCGGCAGGCTGTAAGCTGGAATGCAATGCTTCACATCATCGTTGCACTATGCGGGTGTCCGTGAGTAGGCGGGTCCTCCGACGCCGACATCCGCGGAAGGAAGACATTGATCCGAAATGATGCTTGCTGCGGACGGATTATCGTTCTACCATCGGTTGCCTCTTGTGCTCTGCATCCGCACGCAAGGGTCTCCAGTCTCCTCCATGGACGGAAAGCAAACACTGTGCCGGGATGTGGGAAGAAGGGGAACCCATGACGAGGGCGCTAGGAAACACAGCTTCGAATAAAGGGTACCCTGAACTGTAAAAGCTAGGCGAAACGCACTCGTTGAGTTTTCAGTTTCCTTCAAACAGCTGCTAGCTGAGTGGTTCATCTGGAGGTTGACCATTGGGTGGAAGAATGACGCATGAGGGGGCATCAGTTGCATGCCAACGAAAGGTTTGAACAGAGCTGTCGTTCCCAGTTCGAGATGCTTCGGGCGCAGTCTGAACGGTATCCTCAACATCGTCATCCTGCAGGCTGTACTGCAACAGTAGGTAGTCCTGTTGATTGTTGTTGCAGGGGCCCTCGGTGAAGTGCGAAGACCCTCGAGCGCGGAAGTGACGTCGGCCACCGCGGAAGGCAAATCTTATGGCCCAGTGAGGCGATGCCCGTCGTCCGAGAAATTCTTGACCCCTTCCCCATAGACCCCTCACATATCCTAGGGTTGTTGTCGACGTCCATATTGGCATACCTACTTGCGTACGGTAGGGCATGCGTGGTGCAACGACGAATGCCGAGTTCTGGAAAAAGTTGTGGAATCCGGATTCTTGGACGGGGCCGGGAAGAATGACGAATGCTGGGAGGGGCCCGGGGGACGGTGGAGACGTGCTTGGAAGACCCTGAGGAGAATTGGCCGGGTTTGGCACGCCAGGCTGGCAGAAGCGGAGGCGGTTGGAGCAAAGAGCGACGGGTCGATGCTGAAAATAGAGACAAGATCGGCCCTGGGCAGGCATGTTGCATTGCCGTGGATGGGGACAACCAGTGGCTTCATTACTGCAATATTGCCCTGGTGTTTTTTGCCATCGTTCCATTGGTGCCGGCTGGCAAAGCATGTGTGCGTTTGTATGCTTTGCTTTCGCTGATGCTTGGTTTTAAGCATCTATGAAGGGTTTGACCCAACGGCACATGCCATATGATTGTCGCTCCTTTCCATCCTGGATTAGACAGACCAGCACGAAGCCTGATGCGTATCCCATCGTCATCGTCATGGTGTCCTGCATTATGTCAGTGGTGTAGTCAACGGTTCTTTGCTGTCGACAGATAGTTTTGTTGAACAATAGACAGACAGACCATGGTTATTTTTGGGATGTTCATTGTCTGCTGATGAAAGGAAAAGCGCGCCATGTAAAATCGGATTGCTGCATTCAAACGCTTGGGGCTTGGGGGCTTGCAGAGAAAAGCTCCTGATGGCAAACACCTCAGTCGGCGCCAACCGCTACGAGGAATGCGGCAGAGTCAGCGGTCGCAGCGGGCTGGACCAGTCTCTCGAAGTCTGGAGCCATCTGACGGGCTAGAAGGGGCCGTTCAAGCCGTTTTTCATGGGCACCAACCATTCGGCCGCTAAAGACTGCTGACAGCTGGACTGCTTCCTTGGGGTGTTCCAACATCTCCTACTGACCTAAGAGGCTCGGCGGTATTCTCGGTTGTGTCGTGAACTGTTGGAGGCGGCGAACAGACGATTTGACTGAGCGTTTGAGCAAAGGGTCGTGAGCAGTGAGCTGGAGGCTGAGCCGTGTAAATTTTTCGAGAGGTGAGGCCATGAGGGTGAGCGAAACTCAAGGAGGGCAACGACGGGTCTGAGGGTGAAGCCATCTCTGATTCGCCGAGAGACGAAGGAGACGAGAGAGACGTACTGTGTACGTACCTTTTAGCATTGATCGTCGTGTGCCACAGTGCCCCGCGCCGGGCCCAGGGTTCAAGCGGTTTGGCCAATGAAAAGTTCTCAACGCGCGAGAAGCGGACAAATCTGAGATGGGTAACCTGATGTCTTAGGCCGTCAGACCGCCACCACGTTGTCCCTTGCACCAGAATCTGGCAAGCATCCACTGCCACTCACCCCGGTCGCTACCGGCTCGTCCTCCCACCTCTAACTTCTGTTCCCCCTTGCGCAACGTTGCTGGGCAGTTTTCTGCTTGGAGACTTGAGGTTCCCTTTTCTGACGCTTGTTGGCCCAGGAAGAAGCCAAGAACAGCCACCACACGGGTCACGGACAGTGCGACGGAGGAAAGAAGAAGTGGCCCGGCCCTGCATCCCTGGTACCTGCCTGGACCCGTGGACCTGTCCCCAGCGCTTTACTGCGTGCACAGTAACCCACCAGTGACTGCCCACTTGGCAACCGCACCTGCCTTTTCACACTGACCACCCTCTTACGCCGCTCCAGCTCGAATACGAGTCTTGTTTTTCTGACCTCCCGCTCGTTCCACTCCAATGACCACCCCCCTCAAAACCTATCCCAACTCATCCTTCACTTCATAAAAACCATTCACTCGCTTTTCCCTATCGTCACCTTTGGTTCCTTCCTCTCGTTCTACTCTGAGTGATTTCCGCGTCACAATCAACAAAAAATCGCCTTTTACCTTTTTTCAACCTACCGGTCGTTCCCGCCCTCCCACCTTGACCCGTGCCGCCCTCCTATTTTCATACCCACCCGGCACGTAAGAACTTTCCGAGAATTCCAGACGAACCGACTCGACTCATCTCAGAACCCTGTGTCTTCGACACCACCACGAAAGAATTTGGTTGTCGGCACACAAACGAACGATTCTTCAATTTATCTGGCCGACCGAGAGAACTATTTCTACAGTCGGCTGACTTGATATATCATTCTTGAAGCACCACCAGCATACTGGGAAACTCGTCATCCACCAAAGTCATAATGCATCCCCAACGCGCTGTTCAGGTCCTCGCCCTCGCCTCGGTCGCTCAGGCGTCATGGTTCAACTTCAACAAAGCCGAGCCCCGCGATGGCCTTATTAAGAGACAGTCAGGAACCGCCAGCGGTGCCGAGACTACATCGACTGCCGCTGCTCAAACCACCACATCTGCTGCTGCCGTAACTACAACAACGACTGCTGCTCCGGTCACCAGCACCACCGTCGCCGTTGTCACTACCACATCTCCCGCTGCCGACCCGACCACATCCGCCAATGCGCCTGCATCAAGCACAACACCGGGAGCCACGGCTGCTCCTACAACCCTGAAGACTAGCACCACATCTGCTGGCAGCAACAACGACGAGACCACCAGCGCAAGTGCCGCTTCCTCCACCCACTCCACTACCGCCGAGCCCGTTACCTCCACCATCAAGACCGTCATCACCACCACCAACTCCGCTGGTGTCGCAACTTCCTTCACCTCTGAGGCCACCGTCACAAGCACGCCCGGTCTTAATGAGGCAAACTCTGGAGACTCATCTTCTGGCATGTCGTCCGAGACTCGCAAGACTGTCATTGGTGTCGTTGTTGGTGTCGGCGGTGCCATTGTCCTCGGTGCCCTGGGCTTCGTTGCCTGGAGAATTTGGGGCAAGAAGAAGCAGGCTGAGGAGAACGATGGCCTTATGGAGTACAACAACCAGTACGGCAACGAGCCCAAGAACGAGATCGGTAGCGCCCAGGGATCTGGCTCCGGCCGTACCCCCTTCCAGTCGACTCTCGAAAGCTACCACGCGCCTAACCAACAAGTCAATGCATCGTCCAACTTTTAAATATGTTTGTTGTTGCGACTTCCAATGATTGTTTCTTGCGGCAGAAAGCGTTGATTCCCCAGTCCTTTCCACACGGATACCACACTCCTTGATTTCTCTTTTTACTCATTTGTTACGGCTGGCCTTTCCACCAGTCATGTGGAGTTTAGGGCCGCCAGATCATCATGGCAGGCATGGTTGCATATCGCAAGGTCTTCGGACTAATGGATAGAAATATGTACATAGAGGGCTGAAAATTACTCTTCTTTGTCGGCTGGGCTTAGGATGATCACTTCACTGGACTAGCGTGGGCTTCAAACGAGTCGCGCATCAGGACAGGGCATCGATACCAGCAAAGACGCACGGCAGAGACCGCAACAAGCAAGTCTGATAGGCAGCCTTCTAGGCCCGTCGGCTTGTACGTACGTTAAGATACAACTTTAATATCAGGACCACCAACTCTTAAACAATTCAAACATTGAAAGGCAAAGAAGAAGCACATACCACATTGAAAAATGACGCAAGTGAAGCCTGTTGGCTCATGTGGCCGGGGGTTGAGGGAGAGAACTGAGTTCAACCGATTGATTGCAGCCCCTCCTCCCTCTGAACTCTATTCCATTCTATCTTTCCCGATATGATCGGCCGTCATCCGAGGGGGCCAACTGCCATCTGATGAACTCCATGTCTCCAAGCCAGCATGATCGTCCTTTTTCGGTTGCTGTCCCGTCTGGGCAATATCACGTGGACACAGCAAAGCTAGGCCATCCGTAATATGATTTCCCCGTCTCAGTGGTGTTTCGGGTGTGCTTTGTGGTGGTGTTGCGGTGGTGTTGCATCCCAGCTTTTTGTGGGCAGCCGTGGTTGGATCTCTTTCCGCGTTTCAGGTTCCCTTTGCTGCTTGCTGCAAGGCCCCAATCCAATACCAATCTTCCCCCTCCCGTGCCGTGCATGTGTCGCAGCGCAGCCGCGGGCGCCTGTTAATCGGAAAAAAGTGCTGCTAAGGTTTAAGGGACGGACGTTGGGTTGTTCCTTTTTGCTTTTCTACTCCTCCAACGTCTTTTCGGTGTTACGGTTTTCTACGTACGAGCGCTGCGCGTCGCCAATCCACACTACAACTCCTTCTGCGCTTCGTTGACGACGCTATATACTACGATTCGACGAGGTTGAGCCTCGGAAATACCATCACAACGACATATTCCTAATATTTCAATTCGACGAGCTGGTGAAAGGACGGAGCTAGGAGACTTTATCTACGACACGAGAGGGAGAGATATCAATTGGGTTACGATCACAATTACGGAACCACGATACTCGACCAGAGCAACCGACGCGATCGATTAATCAGTCCGAAGGAGAGTAAACCCGATAATTGCATTCGAAAGGACGTCATAAAACTGAGCGAGCAACGCCAAATCACTGTCGGTCTACGACAAAGATCAGAGAGAAAGCAATGAGAACGTCAACACTCTTCAACGCCCTTTCGGGGGCCGCTGTGGTGGCGGCGGGTGTGCTGGCGATGGACCTCGGTGACGAGATGCGCATGGGGTGGAAGTATGGCCTGCTGCCGCGGCAGACGACGCAGAACCTGCAGACTTTTGAGGGGAATTTGGGCGGTGTACAGGCGTCAGCGGTATGTGATTGCATCTCCATCTCTCGGGATGTTCTTCCCCTCCACACTCGAGCAAGAGTCCAGATCCTCAAGGGGGGGGGGGGGCGCAAACGTTTAGCTCCGGGGAGGTGTTCGGTGTGGCGTTCAATGGGTGGCGCTGTTTCAGGAGTAGGATGAGGGAATCGTAGGACGGAACGTTGTTTGCTGACTATTGTGGCTTGGCTACAGATTACCAAGTCAAATGACCCTAGCAGACCGTTCGAGGTCGACGGTGATACTTTTGTGAGTTCTTTCCGTGTGATCTCCGACGTTTACTCCTGGAGATAGAGAGGAAGAAGTGAGCGTGGTGGGTACGGGAAGCAAACGTGCTAATGCGTGCTTGGTTATAGCCCGACTTCAACACCGCCGCGGGCCGATCTTGCGACAATCAGAAGAACAAGTGCTCACAAGCAGCCAACAACGGACCGCAAAAGTTTGAGGTGACCAAGTGTGACGAGCAAGCTGGTGAGTTTATGTTACTCTCTTGGGGTTTGAGGGTTCCATCACACATGAGGGCCACTATACTAATACGGACCGGCAGAGCAATGCAAAAACACAATCGACACAATCACAAAGCAGAGCTTTAGCGATCCCGTGTTTTCGGGTACGGTGGGAGATTTTGACATCTTTTGTGATCCTTGAGAGGCTCATCTGAGTTGGTCGAGCGAGATGTCGGTCGTCGGCGGTGGCGATGATGATGGTATTGCTGTCTCAAGAGGCTATGTGAATGAAGTCACGTCGGCATGTGTATACTGAGAGATTGGGAAAGGAAACGAGCGAAGTAGGGGGTGAAGACAGCAAGCCAAAGGATTTGGCAGAGGTGTTGATGGGGATTTTGAGTTGTACATGTTAAAGGTTGGTTTGGTGTTATAGGCTCCTCGAGGCGAAGATCGAGGATGATGTCCGGCGGGCATGACGCTCGGCTGTTGATGAGGTCGTGGAGGTTATTCTTCTTCTTATTCCATGAATAATACAATCATGATGAAATTTCAATGGTGCCACAACATCCTCGGATGATATTGAGAAGCGACAATACAGAATCGTTTGCTGTGAGTTGTGATCATGGTTTATGATGTCTCAGAATGCCTTCACTTTTGACAGCAGACAATCAAAGGGAAAAAAGTTTTGAATGCAGCTGTTTCCAAGCCATACCTGCCTTTTGATAATGACTAGGAAGTGGTGCGTCTTCCTGGTGACATCGACACAGGCTGTAGGCAGGATTCACTTCCTTCTTGGCGTCCCAATTCTTGGTAAACCCAAACTCCCCTCCCCCCGACCTACCTTATACGTAGTCTCTCAAATATGGAGAATGACCAAAAGAACGAGGAAAAGGTCGTTTCAATCGAATTCTTCGCCTGAAAAGGTAGCAGCTATAGGAACAAATGAGATCCCGACCCAACGGCCGACGGGGGCTCTCTTTCTCGAAATAAACCACACGGGCGCTAGGATCCGTTTGTCTACCTACCTAATTAAACACATCCCCCAGGTTCAACGCTGTTCCGGGGAATTTACCAACCTGCGTTTGTTTTTGCCCCGAGCTCCTTTCGTTTTTCGCGTTTTGTGGCCGGCTTCCAAGGGAGTAAGACAATATGGAGTATTGTCTTGGGTCAATGAATCTTAATCTCACAATCGAAAAGGCGATTTTCCCGTGCCTGGCTGGGGCGGGGTGCCACCTGATAACATGCAGGAGGCTTCTCACGGATGGTCTAGTGGGAAGGGACGGAAACCGGGGATGAGACGAGACGACGTTCAGCTCCGATGAATTTCTGGAGATCTGTACCTGCATATTGCATATTCTGGAGGTTGGACCGAAACTGCAGGAGTGTCGTGGGAGAAAAACGTGCGTTCAGGGGATTATGGATGATGGACGGACGGATGACAGCAGTAATTTGACAAGTTGGGGCTCCCGTCATGCAGGTTTGCTTTGGTGGTACTTTGATTTCTAGCTGTTGAGGGAGTGGACGCTACTACTAGACAGGACCATGAATCATAATATGGCTTATTATACCTTCCATGTCTATTCTAGAAGGTCGAATCCGCGATATTGGATATTGGCAGCATGGCGTTTTTGGACGAAGTAATAAGTATGCCAACGCCAACTTTGACGCTGAATTCAGTAACGATAGCTATGCAAACACAGTGTCCCTTTGGATCCAGGAAGCTGCTTGCAGCCGAACAGAATCATCCTTTCAATGTAGACAGACATAATGTAAGCAATCTGGCAATCTGAGCACGAGCGTGACGGGCCGGACATTCGAGCCATTGGCAAATACGATGTCGTCTAGGAATCCAAGCGGCGGGGCCTCTCATCCGGCGGGAAATCACCCATAGCCCCAGATGCGATGCAGTAGTAGGGGAGGCGATTTCCGGGGGCAATTGATCGATGATAATAGAGTACATTCCCTCTAGCGTACAATCATGGGGTGTTGGATGTATTGGAGTATCAGCCAAACAAGGCGAGATTGGGCTGGTCATAGCTCGGCCCCGTAAACTCTCATTAAAACAAAGCTGGGCCGCTGAGTGGCCCATCGTGCCGTCGTCGTTCCTCTTCGCCCCGTGCGTGGTGGGTGGAATCGTGTGGATTGGACAGCCTGTCCCTGGCGACTCGCACTCCCCCGGTCCATCCCATTGGAAAGCGGGCAGGGGAGGCCCCATCTCTTCCAAGCTTGTCACTCTTGTCTGCCCCGTTTTCCCAATGACATTCGTTCATGTGCTCGCAAGTTGGCTGGATCAGTGGAAGAGAAGGGCCCCGAAGTTCAAAGTCAGAGGCAGAAAATGCCAGCTGTCTTTCGTGGAGCGCGGCCCCAGTTGAAGCCGGCCAATCTCATCGTGCCACTGGTGCCGGACCACCGAATCAAGGTCTCCACGTCTACTCGAACCCGAAAGCCTGAGGCGGAGGTATCCCGTCCTTTCTCTTCTCGAGTCTCCACGAATTCGTGCCGGTGCAGATGAACTATCCTGTCGTGGTTGTCACTGCATTGAGGGACGTGACGGTTTCTGTTCAACAAAGGTGTTCAACGTTTAGGTAACGGAACCAAGAAAGTCTGCCAAGTTGCCTAAATACCTAGGTAGTACTCACAAAGGCAAGGTACGGCTATGTACTATGTAAGGTAGGTACTAGGTAAGTTATGTAGCGAGACTAAGGCAGCGTTTTGTGAGCTGTCTTCGGCTGGCGGTCGTGCCTTAGCTCTGCTGTACCTGCTCCTTCCCGTGCGCGTACCTGTACCTTGCCATTCCTGTCAAAACCCCGTTCCCAGTCTTGTGCATGTACATCGAGTCCCTTCATTTTCCTGGCCTTCCTATGAACCGTCCGGAGAGTAAGGTACACCTAACCTAAGTCTTGACCACCTAACCGGCCGGCACCATCTCTAACGAGAACTTTGGAAAGGAAACTAGGCAATAATTCTTACCTTAGCTTCCCATGTGTCCTTCCAGGTTGCCTTTAACCTCGCCATCCTGTCCAGTCCTCACTGACTTACCACCTTGCTCCTGACACATCACGTACCTTATCGACATTTCCATCCTCTCCTCTCCTCTGTCTCTCCACCAAAGCCGGCAGCATCGTGCCATATCGACGGAATCGCCATCATACGTGTAGCTCAACCTGTAATCCGATGCGTCCGGTAACCGCATGCTGCCACTGTCTGCCTTCTCTTCTCATGTCGCTCCTTAGTCAATAATTTCCCTCTCTCAGTTCCTTTCTGCAACGGGCCCCCCGTCCCTCTAATCCCTGCACTGGGTCACCACCTGCAAAATAATACCTTATTTCTGCTGGCTATCCTTTTTTTTTTTTTTTTTGTCCAGGTCCCCTTCCCTGTCCGCCTAACAAAAAATACCTGGGCTACCTACCTGCGGATACGCGTCGCGACCAGAAAAACCACCCATCGGCCCCAAATATACACACTCATCCATCCCCAATCACACGGGCCGCCTCTCCTCCACCCCCTTATTCCTGTCAACAACCTCGACAGCGCTCGTCCGTTCCCTTCGTTCTTTTCTCTCGCGGCCTGCTTCGTTGTGTGTGCATGCCGATTTTTGAGGGCTGTTGAAGAAAGGGTCCTCGACGCGAATACACAGAGACTTGGCTGCAGACGATTCCCATCGTCTGCGCTGATCTCACCGTGGTAAGCTACACCTCACCGCATCCTCACCTTACCTTACTTTACATTCCCGGCGTGGTACGGATACCTTGAACGTCCACTCGCCACGCCACGTCTTTTCTTGGACCCATTCCTGATTGAAACAGAGTCCCACGAAGACGTCTTCTTCCCAGCAATCCCATTCTCCTCCTGCTGCATCCGCACAGGACGGCACAGGATCTAATCGTCCATCCTTCAATTCGCCGCCAACGTCTCCCGCCCTCTCATCGACGTCCACAGCTGCCGACGGCGAGGGCCTTGGGTCCTCTCCAATTTTGCCTTCGCTACCCGCGCCCAGACTCCCCGACCGAGCTCGGGAAATTCTCAGAAGTCAAAACCAATCCAATCCCGAAGAAGAGGAGAGATACGTGACAGCTAGCTGGGGCTCGCCCTACTCAACTGAAGAGACGAACCTCATTCGCCGCGAAAGCATCGGCAGCGATCAATCCGAAGGCTCGCCTATCCATCACATTGCTATCAGCACTCCCTTTCTTCGACCCCCACCAGCGCTTTCGCTCGGACAGGACGAATCGCACGAGCCATACCTCAGCGCAGCTCAAGTTCTCGCTAATCGCGCTCGGAGACCTGCGCGACGATTGACTGAAGATTGGATTCGCCAGCACACGGCGGGTGATCATACTGAGGGCCGACATTGGTTCAGCGACGGAAGCGAGCACTCTTCACTGAGCGGCTCAGGATCTGGCGACGAAGCTGTTTGGCACGATAAGGAATCTCTGCGAACCCCTAGAGCCCGACCACGCCTGACGCGCGCATCGCTCACGGAACCTCGCTATCCTCGAACCCGATCCAGCGTTGAGACCCTCAAGCAAGAAGACGTGAAGCCTCGAGACGAGATAACAAACGCGAAGATGGAGAGTCCAGATCTCTCCAAGGCCGACTTGGCCCGCGACCTGCCAGACCTCCCACCAATTCCCACAACGCCCAGACGGAGTGCTAGTGCCGCTGTCGGGAACACGGCGAGGACGCCAACTACACCAATGAGGAGTGCATCTGCCAGAGTGACAATCAAAGAGCCCAGCATGACGCCTCGGGTGAAGAAGAAGATCCCGTGGAAGGGCAAGAATATTATGGTTCTTCTTCCCAAAGACGAGGAACGCGGACGTCCCGGCCATGCGCCCAAGCCGTTGAACCAGAACGAAATCGAGGGCATGTTTAGATCGTGGGAAGAGCTTGGATACGATATCAGTGGCTTCGATTTGGATCTTGCAGAGGGCACGTACCAGGCCCCCACTGGATACTCACAGAGTCGAGACGCTTGGCCTAGCCCCGAGGACCTTGTTCGAGAGCGTGCGCAACATACATACAAAGTCACATTGCCTGATTTGAATGGTAAGTCTGCATCGTGCAGAGGGAAAGCAACAGGAATGCTAATTGTTATGCAGCTTGGAGAGACTATGTCAATGAGCTTAACGAAGCCAAGTTGCGAGCTCTTGGAGTGTCATTCGGCGACGACGACCCCCCGGCACCCTCAATATCGCCTGCAGTATCACAGCCCAGCCGACAGGCCTCTGCACAATATCCGCCTTTACCATTCTCCCCGCCATTGCCTACATCTTCAGCGTCGAGCAATCATGTGCAAGGCTATCCGTTCCCGCCACAGTTCATACCCGGTGGGCGCTCTTCTGCAGGCCACAGTCACAGCCCGAGCATGGCCTCGCCCATTGGCTTTGGTAGTCACCCTGCCAAGTACAATAATCGACAGTCGATTTCGGTTCCCATGGGCCACTCGCCTTTCCAGATGCCAGGTCAACCATCGCCTCTAG